TTTGCTGCTGCCGAACATCCCTGGCCGGAGAGGGTCAGCGGCTCCGTCTGCAGAACGCTCAAACCCACACAACCCCCCGCCTGCTGCGGCACGGCTCCTTCTGGTGGTCCGTAATCCCCCCTAATCCCGGTTCCCCTGATTGCGTGTGGGAGCAGGAGTGCAGCCTGCTCAACAGGAGCGCGTTCCCAATCAGCGGCACGGCCTCCCACGGGTTACGGTACGTGGGTTTGACACACAGGGTGTCCCTGAAATGTCTCTGGACTGCGGCGCAGGAAGGCGGCGTGTGTCTGTGGGGGCAACGCTTGGCTCACGTTGGGCTGTTTGCCCTCTTTTCTGGCTTTTTGGCTGCTGTGCAGATAAGAGGACCACTCCGGAGCGGAGGAAGTCTGGCATCGAGGCAGGATTCTTTCGAGTAATACATGGCCCTGGTGGGTATTAATCCTGGTAATTTTGGCAGGTGTATGCAAGGGATCCTGGAAACGAAATACACATTTCCCTGTCAAAGGTTTAGTTTCTATAACGGTGTTTTCTGAAATGCTGGAGAGTCTGCAAAGCCTGCAGGCTGACGGGGGTGAGGAGGTTTGTGAATGGCAGGAGAAAAACCCCAAGAAGGCATTAATGTTGGGGTTTGGGGATCAAGTAATTGGCCAAAAAATGTTTACAGAAACATTTAAGAAAAGCTTGAGGCTTTGCAATTATTTCTGCACGTGAAGCACTACATTGGTTTATCCAAATAGTACTGAAGACCAAACGGGGTCCCGGCCGTAGCTGGAATGGAGCTGACTCACGGGTTTGTTCATGGCTGTTCAGTTATCAGAGGAGCTTTATTCCTTCAATTTGTAAGCATGAGTCACTTTTCTAGCCACGAGACCAGGGCACGGTTGCATCTCATCTTGTGTCAGCACAAAGGCGTCCCTGGCCTCTTTAAACTCATCCTTTACTTGCCGCGTTTCCTCCGAGTTGTGCCACAGTGGGGAAATTTTCATGGGCTTTGATTTCCCCTTCGTTCTTACTTCTCCCCCACTCGTGGTACCGTGCTGGTTTGTCTTTTCCTCATGCTGGAATTGGTCTGGTGCCACTGTGTAATTTTTAACTGTGTGCAGTATCAACAGACCTCCATCTGTCTCTCCTCCAGAGCTTCCCAGGCTGCCGTCACAAGTATCTGCCAAATCCATCTCCAAAGAGAGGATCACCAGATTCCAACTGTTTGCAAAATAAGAGCCACCGCCAGCGATGCTCTGCCCCGTTGGCCGCCTGTGCAGACCCTGTCCCCACACCTTGGGACATGTCACTGCTGGCCCCAGGAGCTCGTGCCGGTGCTCTCATCCCTTGTCCCTCAGAAGCCGACCCTTCTGCAGAGGGTTCAGCACGTTGGTCTGTTTGCTCAAATATCTCATTATCTCTGACATTTTATTAGAAAATAACCTTCAATAGCTGTCAGGTGAAAAAAAAAACAAACAACAAAATAACTTGAAGGTTGGGGTTTTTTTCCCCTTTACAATGCAATTCTGATTTAAAACACGCTGTGGGACTGATTGGTCCAGTGTTGTTTTGTAAGATACCCTCCTGGGCACGAACGCCCTTCCCCAGCCTGTCGCGTGGAGCCCCAGGGCCAGTTGCCACCACCTCAAGCCGGAGTGAGCGGTGGGACTTGCTGACTGCACACCCGCGTTGCTGAGAGCAGAGCTTGATCTTCCGCCTCTCTCCACACCCACAGCAGAATAGGACAGCGCCAAACCAGGCAATGCATTGATTAGATTGTGCACGCTGAAAAATAGCAACTTTTTTAACGTGGCTACAATAAAATTAAATTTAGATTGTTTAGATTAAACATTAGGGAGAAGTTTTTCACTGTGAGGGTGGTGAGGCACTGGAAGAGGTTGCCCAGAGAGGGTGTTGAGGCCCCATCCCTGGAGGTGTTCAAGGCCAGGCTGGAGGTGGCCTTGGGCAACCTGGGCTGGTGGGAGGTGTCCCTGCCCATGGCAGGGGGGTTGGAACTCGATGATCTTCAAGGTCCCTTCCAACCTAAACCATTCTATGATTCTATGAAAATCATGTATAAACACATTTGGATAGAGTAAAAAATACAGATTATGATGTAGGTGCCCTTTTAAGACTGTTAAAGCCATTCCCATAACAGTCTATTGATTTCATTCATTCAAAAGTGTGTTTGGCTCATGTGGCTTCTTAAATCTGGCTGTGGACCTCAGGCTGTGATCACCACACGTGGTGGCCTCTGCTGGGGGTATGGCAGCTCACTGCTGCTGAGCAATTACCAACGCATCTCTTTAGGTGCTGCTGCAGACACCAAACTAATGATAAATGTATGTTTGAATAAAAGGCTTGCCAGCTAAAGTCAGATCCAAGGAACAACGTTCCTGTTCTATCTGTGGGGCATTGGGATAAGTCAGGAGAAAGGATTTTTCCAGGTTATTTCAGGAGAGGGTTTCGTTTGGATCTGCCACATCTTTGTTCTGCAGAGCTTTGCAAAGGAACATAAGGAATGTGAAGCGGCTTGTGGGGTTGATAAATCCTCCTTCCAGTCTAGATTCAGAAGAAGCCAGTATTTCTGAGAAGGAACAGTAGGTACTGTACTTGTTTGACGTGGGCATGGACCATGGGGACCATGGCCAGAGGGTATTTTTGTGTACATAAGTAGGGGGAAGCACCTGAAGCACCAAAGAACCTTGGGAGTTTGTTTCATGATGTATAGTCAGATTCAAAAACCACCAATATTTCCATTGTCGAGGCTGCAGTGTGGATTTGGTGTCCGGTTTTGAAGGTTTTAGGACGATCAAGTTCATGATCTTCTAGGAGGGCACGCTACCACTTAATAATACATTATGACAGGAGAGAAATTTGTACAAACAAGTCTAAGCCTGTAGGACAGCTCAACTTACTTACAAGTGAATAATATCCCCAGCCGTTGCCGGGGGTGGCAGGGAGCAAATAGAGAAGTGAAATGGGAGCGAGCGGCCCGTGCCGGCGGTGGTGCCGGACCGGCTGCGCGTGGAGCAGGCAGCGCAGGGAGCAGGGCTGGGGTGTAGCGGTGCCGGCACAGTTCACATCCAGCCCGTATTTAACTCTGATTTTCTGGAGCAAGATTCTCTTGTAAAGGAACAGCCGTGATTTGTTTAAAGTCTTTGGGAGATAAAAAGCAGATGGCATTGATTAGCTAATTAGTAATATTTTCTGCAACTTATCAGCTGTGCTGATATGTGTGAAGTTTGCAAAAGCTTGGGATGAATCTTGCTCTCTTTGATTTATTGAAGATGTCGACTATTTTAAAATCTGGAGGGGAGGGAAAGTTCTATACAAATGTGTAATTTTCTGCCCAACAGAAATATGTTAATCTTTTCCTTTGAATTTATGTTCAGGGCTCATTTCTTTACTTTTGAGGGGAATGTGTGCAACGAGGTTGCAGCTCTCCTGGCTCTTGTCTTGATTGCACTGTCTCTTGTGTGCCGTGCCAAAAGTTTCTGCCTCTCCCGGATTCCCCTCGCTCCTTCCCCTTTCGCATTTATGAAGGAGGCAAAGCAAAAATTTTATTTTTTATTTTATGCCATGCTACCTTGTCTCTGTCAGTGCTGTTGTGGCCGGAGCATCACTGGGGTGTTGGAGGCCCCTCTGACCTTGAGTTAGGTTGGACACAAGTCGGATATCTTGATGTTGTCTTTATGATGGCAATAGTTCATCATTTAGGACGAGACAGAGTACCTTGCCAAGACGTTAATGTAAAGACTGTCTGGGAGAGGCTGTCGGCCTTTCAGACCCTGCTGGTTGCATAGCAAAGTCTCCATGTAGTCAAAAAACACGAGACTCATCCAGTTTCTTCAGCAAGGTGGATACGGGAGCGCTCATGGGCAGATACCAGTAGTCACAGTGGTCTTTGTGGGAATAAGCGTGGGTGGACACAGCATCGGGTTCCCAGCAAGCCCCGTAATTAGGACTTGCTGCAACCTCTGGAGGTTTGAGCTCTGCGCCAGCACCACCCCAAAGCCTTTCGTGTGACACGGTCCTGGTGTAGAAGCTGTGTTTTAATTGGCAGCGTGTAGTGTGGGTGACGCACGAGCTGTCAGCTGGCCACCTGCGACCGCGGGGAATGAGAAAGAGCTTTGTTTTCCTCTTCTGGGAAACTGTCCTCCCTTGCAGATGCTCTGTGGAACAGCTTTGCGCCGCTTAGCTCCCGTTTAAGGCTTCAAAATAGGGCATGATGCGGGTTGAGGTGGGGCCCAGATGTTGTACTGGTCAACTGCCTGAGTTGTGCTCCATCCAAAAGCCATCAGGACTGGAAATTGCCTAAAGTGAGACCAAGATCCGCTCCTCTGTTGCACAGAGCTTTCTGTTTTCCATTGAGTGCGGTGTTGACGCTTTAGCCTTTCTATTTCCATCAGAATGACAATTTTTATTGGTTCTTAAGCTGAAGAAACAACAAATTCTGCATCCTCTCTGGAGCACAGTCTTGTTAATGTTCTTTGAAACATGACATGTGTCGTGGCCGTCAAACTGCAATGATCCCATTTCTTCTGAAAGGAGAAAAACATGTCACTTTGGGCTCTAAGTAATACAAAGGGAGAGTCGTGGTTTAGATAGGAGCTGCATGGCTGCCACAGATGAAAGAAAAATGTTATTACTTTTGGAAATTTCATAATTACAGTTAATGATAATTTAATGAAACGGCATTGTCTTCACCGCTATCACTAATGAAATGTTTGAGAGTGATGAAACGAGTCTTGTTAAATAGAGCGAGAGTCTTGAGTGGAATAGCTTTGTGACAGCAGCCTGCGTGCACAAGTCTCAAATTCCTATTTTTTTGTTACAGTAGTTTAAAAAAGAAGATAAAATGCAGGCTACCTGGCAAATAATGCACACAGGAGGTATTTAAAGGCCTGCCATTAAGCAAACAATGCCGAACTCCTGAATAACATGCTGATGACTGAGTACTGCTCTTTAGAAATGCCAACCCTTCATTAAAACACTTGCCTTGTTTTTCTTTGCAGACAAACCAGAGAACAAGAAACCCCGCCTGACTTTTTTTATTTCTCAGACTATGAAAGACATAATGCAGAAATAGCAGCATTTCATTTGGACAGGCAAGTAAAATGGATTTGCAGTAAAAGAAAAGTAGAAATATTGTGATAGGTTGCTGCTCTTGGCCAGCCCCGTAACTGAATTCCTTTTAAAAAAGGGAAAAATGGAACAAAGGTGGGCAAACGCCATGAATAAATGAAACGACAGATGATGAAAGGGTGAATTAATAATTAGGAAATGTGACTTGCTCTGGGAATGAGAAACCTGGCAATAAGTAATTCTCAAAAAGAAAGAGAAATGATATTGAAGAGAAGCTGAGAAATGAATTTCCCCGGTGATCTTGAAGTGCACATGGAGAGGACCCGTCTGCCGGGGAAGATGTCGCATGAGTGCGACGGGAGTCTGGCTCACCCCAATTAGCTGCAGGGCACACAGGTCCCAACGAGACATGGGGGACGGTGTGAGCATTCGGAGAGGAACAGCTGAGGTGGGAGGGAGTTCTGGTTTCGCAGCCAAAAGCCGGGGCCGTCCCACGTCAGGAGGCTATTTTGGCCACGAGTTAGTGGGAAGGAGAGGGCAACGGTGGCCAGCCCGTGCTCCTGTTAGCTGAAAACGTGCCCCCGGGGAGGGGTGGTGCAGGGTATGGTGGATACCCCAAGGCTGGGAAGGGGTTGCAGCCCTCTCAGCCCACCCCGATTAGGAGCGGGAATTAATAATTAAGGATGAATTATTAACAGTCTGGCTAGAAACCATGGCATTTCACAGCCTGAGTTAGAACTGAAACATCTTTCACACCCGGAAGTGCCACGAAACCGCCTTGCAAAAGCTTGAGGCTTTGGGGCCACAAATTATTTGGGGGCGCGTGTAGGATTGCTGCCTTCTGGGTCAGTGGTTTGGATGAGGGAACCAGCGGGGCACGGGGTAGATTTGCCGTTAAGAGCCGTCCTGGGCAGATCCTTCAAGGATCCCCTGTATTCTGTTGTTGTTGACCTTGGTGTCGGTCCCTTCTGCTTTATACTTTATATTGCAGTTTTAAGCAGATGGTGCTGTAGGAAAAAACATTAATGGAGTTCCTGCAGGGAGGTATGTTAAATATCCACACACCAGGCGGAAAAAGCAGTTGCTGCCCAGTGTAGAAAATCTTATCAGCAGACAGTGGACGTAAAAACTGCACCTGTGGGGAGGCTTTCTGTGGGGACTTTGCTCTTTTACTGTATCTAATAGCAATGCCTCGCAGGGAGTTTTTAATGAGCTACTCAGGTGGGGGAGTTTGGGGTAGAGAAGAGCCCCTCACCCAGTCTTCACCTGTGGGAAAATTTCTGGTCTCAGGGAGATTGTTTAGGTTGGTGTAAGGGTATTAAAACAGAGAGGAGCAGAAGCAAATAAATCAAACAAATACTAAGACTGTCAGAAAAAGAAAATTACTATTAGGTGGTGTTTACAGAAGAAAGAGGCTGAAATCCCATTCCTCAAGTCACTTAAAAAAATCGGTGAGCAAAATGCATGTTATAGCAATCCTGAAGTAGCACAAAATCAAAAATAAGTTTCTGCTGTCTCTTGTTTCTGGAATTCTATGTATCCTCATTTTTTTCACGGAACAATGTGTCCCCATAGTCTTCTGTATTTTGCTTCTGCTCCATACTGGGTAGGCAAGTCAGAGCTGATCGTATTCAGGACATATTTTGTAATATATTATATGAAGGATTAGCCAGTTTAAAGTGGATGGGCTTTTTACTCCTTGAAGACCACAGATAAATGTGCCTTCAGAGTGCAATGAACCTTCCTAAAACCTATCACCGTCATTATATTTTAATCCTTTACATAAACTGTCTCTTTTCTTTCTTTTCCAGGATCCTGGATTTCCGCCGCGTGCCCCCAGTTGCAGGTAGACTGGTTAACATGACGAGAGAAATACGAGATGTTACTCGTGACAAGAAACTGTGGAGAACGTTTTTCATCTCACCAGGTAGTCTTGGAAATTGCACTATATTCTTTCTATCCCGCCGAACACGTACTTAAGGGAACAATGTGTAGATTGCTTAACTGCTCAGATATTTCTAATAGAACTGTCTTCTAGACCTTTGAATGAAAATAAATGTAGAGACATAGCCTACAAAGAAGACTTTATTGTTTTGAATTGAGTGCCTTTTCCCCGTGACAAATTATCCGCAGAGACAGGCTTTTATGTTCACAAAAGCAATGTATTCAACAAATGTTTTATGTAGAGCAATTTCTAAAGCAATTTCTTCTGTTGCTCTCAGTTTACCCAAAACCTTATTACTTGGCCCATTAGTTATTTAGGCTTTTTTTTTTCTACTGCAATGTGATCCGTCATTTCTGTTGGTCAGATGCATTTATTGCTCGGTTTTGACTGGAGGACCAAAACCTAATTTTCTCAGAGTCATGAACCTCAGTTTTTGTTACAACAGGACTTTGAAAAAAATCAAGCAAATAGACATGTAACATATCCTGCTTCCAGCTCAGATTCTCCGCTGGGCAGAGGCCAGAGTAAAAGTGACCTGAATTGTTCCTGGTCCTTGTTCTTGCTTTGAGGGCCGACCCCAGGAGCTGGTACCACTCTTGGCTTCTATTCCTTTTCACTCTTTCACAACATCTGGTGGCCTCAGCCAAGGATGGAACTCCACAGGGTGGGAGTTTTACAAACACAGGGTAAAACCATGCCCTGCGTCCCAGAATATACATCTGGAATAGGTGAAGATGGGAAAGGGTGGGAGAAAGCGGTGTCCTCTCTGTTGAGCATCTGGGCTGCTGGGGGGGGGAAACCAAGGCTCTGAGTTAAGGCACAAAAATGCACGCTTAATTGTGTTCTTAAGAGAAGGACTACCCAGGGAAGCGTTCAATGTAGAGCGTGTAGCTATGTTCCAGTGAGGTTCACTCGTATGATTTCAGCTGCGTGCGAACGGGCTTTGCTGAACTCGGGCTGTGACTTGTGTAACAGGCAATCTGGAGCAGAAGTCTCCGGAGAGCTCTCCCTTGCTCTGTGGGTGATTGGGCAGAAGCTCTTTAGCCCCGACCCCTAAAGTCACGATCCAGAGGCTTAATTACAGTTTCTCCCGACGTAACTGTAATCTATTGCTGTTAGCTAGAAACCGGAGCCCTGTCGTTGCAGAGCTTTCTCTCTTAAAATGATTATCACACTTTTGTGATCACCAATAAAGTCATTATTATGGCTTTTATTTTTAGCTCCATATTTATGTTCAGCTCTGCGGGACACACAGTTGAGCAGACAGTTATTTATTCCAGTAACTTCACTTGTAAAATACATGACAGAATTACAGGAGGTTTCATCTTACCCGGTGTTATAAGCGCTCCGATTTTACATGTACAGTCATGGTGACGGTACGTGGTGACAGCGCGCACCAACCCTGATGTGCAGACATTCCTGTGTGCTGGGCACTTGCTTTCTCTTCCGCTCCCTCTCTGTCTCTCTACATTTTTTGGGCTTGATTTTTTTTTTTTTTTTTTTGTGGCCAAACAATCACACACAAAAGGTGGCAAAAAAAATCTCGTGACCGTTTATGTGCACAAGGTACTTTGGCTCATTTGAAATACAAATCATTTTATTCCCGTTTTAGCAAGTAAGACACAGATTCGTTTGCTGCCTTTCTAGTCTTCCCAGGTTGTGTATCGAGGCTTGGGGCTGAACTTGAGTGATTTCTGAGAGTTACAAAACTGTACTCAAGTTCTGGGCAGCTTGCAGCAGGCAGGGCACGGCAATGCAGAGTTGAGGCTGCCGGTTCGGATGAAGATCGTTATCTTGTCATTATGAAATTCCAGACATCCAAGGGGTGATCCAAGCATAATCCTTTATTCAAATTTATTTAGAGGCCTCAGATAAATTCAATTAAAATATTTGATTAACTATGAATCAGGCTTTTCTGGAGAATAAAACACTTAAGCAATTAATTTTTCTTTCAATTTTACATTTCCTAAATCAATATACTTTGCTTAAAACATGTTGGTTACTTGTCAGAGTTCCGCCTGCAAGTCCCCAGTTTAATTAGTCGGATTCTCATTAACATATGCCCAACCTCCGTCTTGTATTTCATACTGACCTTAAGAGGCAGGCATTAATTAATGCTTAATGAAAAAGTAATAAAGGTCCTAAATTAAGCATTTGGAAACAAATTCACAAACCCAGCGGGCAGCTGAAGCAGCAGATTGAGGGCAGAAGAGGGAAAAGCGGAGGGTGGGGGAGGGTGGAGAGGGACTGGGAGGGGCTGACTTGTCCCTTCTGGCAGATGAGGGGTGCCAAAGTCACTTGGTTTTCGTAGAATCACAGAATCACAGAATGGTTTAGGTTGGAAGGGACCTTGAAACCCATCCAGTGCCACCCCCTGCCCTGGGCAGGGCCACCTCCCCCCAGCCCAGGTTGCTCCAAGCCCCGTCCAACCTGGCCTTGAACACCTCCAGGGATGGGGCAGCCACAGCTTCTCGGGGCAACCTGCCCCAGGGGCTCACCACCCGCACAGGCAACAATTTCTTCCTCATATCTCACCTAAATCTCCCCTTTTCCAGTTTAAATCCGTTCCCCTTTTGAGGCAGAACTGGTTGCAAAGCTGAGAAATGGAGGTGTGCCATACGGACACATATGGCAAGAGCCGCTCCGAGCAAAGCCCTGGAGGCTCCTGGGGTCCCTTTGGGGTGGTTGTGTCTCTGCCTCTCCATCCCCAGCAGTGCTCGGCGGCGATGGGCCTGGGGACACCTTGTGCCTGCAGGCAACATATCCCTCCCCACGCACCCGTGTACATCTTGGAAAATTAAACGAACGCTACACGTAATTGATTGTACAGAAAGCTCTTCCCCTGGGGCTGGGGGACCGCTCTTTGCAGCGGAAACCCTCGGAGGGTAAATATTGATGATGCTCATCATCAGTGTCCTTCCCCGGACCAGCGTGGGGACGGGTCAGAAGAAACCTCGCTGCGTCTCCCCTCTTGGGCCATCTCGCCCCTCCCGTGGGAATGGGGGCTCCGTGCGGGGGGTCCGCGCGTTGGGCAGGGGCTGCGGCGCTGCGTCCCGCCTGCCCGCGGGGAGCGGGGACGGCTGCGGGCAGAGGGGTCGGGCATGGCCCTGCCTGCGGGGAGCACGCAGACCGCAGAAAAGCGCACTCCCAGGCAGTTTGGACTAAACACGAGAAATGGAATCAGGTCAGTAATTATTTAAATTAGTTTTACATCCTTTGCAGTCGGGCAGACTGCAGTAGCCCCGCTACTCTTACAAATGAATGGTAATTTGCTAGGAAAAAAGAGACATATTAATGATGTCAGCCTTCATTTTGGAAGTAATTGAGGCAGCAGCTTAAAGAAATCCATGTTACACAGCCAGTAAGCACTATGGTTTTGTTCATATTAACCAGTTCTGAGGGATTATGGATTTTTTTTTTCTCCTCTCAGCAAACAATAGCAATTCTGAATTAGCTATTATTCTGAGCAGGTAAAAGAAAGATCTTTTCATGCGTTGCTTTAGTAAATATTCAGGATTCTTTCCAGTGCTCCAGTTGCACAGGCTTGCTAAATGTCCTCTGTTAACAGTCATGCAAATCTCAGTGAAAGAATTGCTCTGCCAAGCAATTTGCTTTAAGGTATCTCCAGTTGTTCCTTTTCTTCCTGAGAAGAATTATTGTTCAGCTCTCGGGATGACGCACAGGAAGTGTGCAGATGAGTACACAGACACTCTGGTTCTTAATTGTTGTAATTAGTGGGAGTTTCGATCACCAGACCGTGATTTTTTGCGTGGATTTCATTACAAATTGTGTCCGTTCATCCTCAGATAATGAAAGTCAGACATTTGCTACACGGCTCGGGATTCTCTCGCCTCTGGTGCTTTGGGGGAACAGTTTTGGTTTTTAATGAAGAAGGAGTTTGCACGTTGCACATTGGCAGCGTTTGAACATTTCGGCACATATAAACTTCCCTCCCCTTCTGCTTCGCCAGCGCTGCCGCTCCCTCCACCTCCGCCCGCTCCGCAGGGGCGCACACCCCTGCCGGTCCCTCCTTTTGCAGCGTACGTGGGGACAGGGGTCTGTACAGAAACACCCGCGTCCTATGGGAGAGGAACGTACGGGCTGGGCGATTTTAATGGGAGGAGAAGGACTGCGCTCCAATTAGACCTCGTCTCCCCTTTCCCTCTGGTTTTTGGCCGCGGAAGGCCGAGCGCCGCTCTTGGCGGGGGATTGCCGGCGAAGGGCTCGTGTCTCCAGCTGGAAGTTCGCCCCCAGCCCGCTGTGGGGAATGTGGGTCACATTCTTAGGTTCCGGAGAGGCTTGCTGCTGCACCTTGAAGTCTTCAACCAGAAATGTCTTTTGCTATATTTGGTACCTCCTTTTTTTTTTTTTACCTTTTTTAAGAAACCATAAAAACGACTGTTTCCCCAGATAATTCGGGCTGCTTCATCTCACTGCCTGTAATAAGAACTCGCCTCACTTCTGTATAAGAACCGGGGTAGGTGTATCGGGGTGTCTATTCTGTATGGCTCTAAGCAGCTAGTTTCTCCAACAGTAACTTGAGATAGAGCGTCATGTCACCCCACTACCCCCAGAAATGAGACAGGAGCGGCAGAGATGAAGTACCACGGAAAAGGCTTTGCTGTTGAGAGTCACTTCTCACCGAGAAACGCCCTCGTGGCTTTACCGTGAGTTTGCTGTCTGGGTGGCCGGCGGCTCCCTGCCGTGGCGGCAGGACCGACGCAGGCGATGGGGCAGTGGCGGGAGGAGCGGGGAGAGCGGCCGGCGGGCTGCGGGCAGCAGCCGTGCTCTCCCTGTTGCTCCGCAGTGGCGAATGCCATCGCTGCCGCAGCCCCCGAGCGTTCCTGCCGGTTTATCTGGGTACGGATGTGTGATTACTGTCAAGTGATTAGCCCCAGCCGCCCTCCTTGACAGTACGGAGCAAGGTTTCATTGTTCCCGAAGTTAAATCCAGCAGCAAACTATTAAACACGGTATTTATCTTCCCACCGTGCAAAATGCCGTGTTTAATATAATTCCTTTCCTGAAAGGTCAGAGTTAGGTGGTGCGCGGCGGAGGCTGCGGGAGGGGCAGCACCGGCCCTTTTGCTCTTTGCCAAACCGTTACGGCGGCAGATAACGGAGCATCGGCGTCCCGCTGCCGGCTGGAAGTCAGGTCACGGGAACCCTGGCAGATAAGTTGTCTCAGACGATGAAGATGACCCTGCGTGGGCTCTCTCCCCCCAGGGACGAGCAGGTGATGCTGACTCCCCCGGGGCAGGCCCCAGCCCTGGCTGTGGCAGGGGACAGCCGTGTCCTCCCGCTGCGGCGCAGGGACGGCGGTGAGCTCCTCGTGTCTCCCAGCTCCGCCGTGCTTCCCCGCAGCCTGCAGCATCTCTGTGGGATTCCTCGTAAATCACCCCTTGGGGCAGCTTGGAACCCCTTGAAATATTTTGTCTGGAGTAATTTCTTTTTAAGGGTATAAACCACAGATGTTCCTCCCCAGCTTTTGTTGGCTGAGAATATCCCAACCTTACGAAGGGCCTCCTCTGTGGAGGCCCTCTGCAGCTGGCGGCGCTGCCCACAGGCGCTTGGACAGCTCTTCACCTGCGCCCCGAGTTATGGACGAGGTTCACAGGGAGGCGTGAAGCCCGCCGGGTTTTGCCAAGATGCTGAAAGATGAAGCTGAAGCACCAGTGTCAGCCCTCCAGCAGCCGGGCTGAGTCCATGCTGCGGTAGCATTTTTGAGGAGGAAACTCGTGAGAGGTTCCCGGCTGCAGGGCGGCACACCCAGGGCTTGTGGTAGGTGGGCTTTGGCTGGATGGGGACTTCACACCTGGGTTTAGACTGATGAAGTGGGCGACTCCAAAGGAGGGCCACGGAGACGGTCCTGGAGCCGGTGTGTCTGGTGTACAAGGAGAAGCTGAGGGCTTCAGATTTGTTTAACCTGGACAAGAGAAGGCAACGCTGGTCTGACTCTGGTGTTAGTGCTGGCCTGAAGGTGTAGCTGGGACAGAGGTCTCCAGAGTCCCTTCAACCCAAGTGTCCCTAACAGTGATTGCTCATTTCCCGTGCCCTTTGTGCAGAGGTTTTCAAAACGTCACTCTCAGAGATACGAGTTATATTACTGAGTTGCGTAAAAGGAAAAATGAGTGGGGTTTCTGTTCAGAAGTTAATGGAGGTACCGTGTGATGAGCAGCACCAGGATTTGTGCTGGGGTTCATAGGAACTGGCCAAGCTGAGTGAGTTACTGGCCAAGGGCAGGGTCGCTTGTTAGCTCACGGGAAGTCTCAAACTGCCGTTCCTTTAATTAAAATGTTAGGGGACTAAATATGCTATATATGTAAGAAAAAGCTTTTAAAATAATTTTTAAGAAAGGATGTTCGGCATGGTAAGACACTTTACATTACAAAATTAAAAGCATAGACTTGCTGAGTGCTGCCTTCCTTCCTTTTGTAATTTCTGTTCTTCATTTGCTTTTCCCTGAAGTACTTCTCTTTCAATAATTGTCAACGAGGTTTTTGACCACGGGGTAAATATTTCTGGACTGAGTCAGGGTGTATTTAAGCGGTATGAGCCAACCCTGAGAATGTAAATCGAGCGTTGGGGCTGGAGCTGCCCCTGGGCAGGGACGGATGGGTGGCCCTGCTGAGTCCGGCACGGCAGAGGGGCTCGAGAAGGCCGTGTCCAGAGTAGAGTAATCACAGCTTAATGGACAAGTCTGATGGCCATCAATAGAGGCTTGGAAATGAAGAGCGGAGACAAACTGTCAAGCAGTAGCACACCAGCCTTTTAGTCCAATTATGTGATCTAATTCCAAGGTTAGCAGTTGCTCTCAGATAATGCAGTTAATTAATACAATCAAAACCACCACGAGACCTCACTGCTCTTCCGTGTTCCCCTTCTCCTCCTTCCCCAGCCGCAGCTCCTTGCCCTGCTTCTCCCTCCCTCCTGTTATCTCCGGGACCGGTATTGCTCCCTGTCCTCTTGACTCATCGTCTCCCTGCCGTGGCCCGCCGGCACTGTGCCATCTCCGCCGGGCGCGTCGCCGGCCCTAGGTTGGCTCTGGACCTGGGGGACGTCACAGCGATGGGTGATGTGCGGGGCGGCGTGCTGCAGGGCACCGCTGCGATGAAAACCCACCAGCTTACCTTTCCGAGCACCCTCGTCTTCGGTGGCGGGCAGCAAATCACCACCCTCTGTTCGCCAGCCCTTCCTGCCGCGTGTGTCCCCATCCTGCCCAAAGGGAGAGCAGCTCAGAAGCAATATTTGAATTTAGAGGCCTTGTGGGGAATCGGGAAGCAACGTGACTTCTCAGCTTCGTGCATTACCATAAGGAAAGGGCACAGTCTTCCTCTGATGACATTTCATGTGCATAAAGCAACGTCGAAAGAGTTGCAGCACACCGACAAGAAGATGAGCATTGCGCTCCTGTTCGTGTTCCTAGGCCAGCGTTGGTGGGGATTGGGGATGAGCTGCTCTCTCCCACCCCCAGGGAATCCACCTGGGAGGGGGGTTCTGGGGAAGAGGTGGGTGTTCCTGTTGGTATGGAAATACGTGGTGGCAGCTTTGGGGAGGTTTTAAGGTAACACACGCTCCAAAACCTGCTGCAGCTTCTTCTTCTGTGGTTGTTAGAGTAACGTGATGTGTGGAGGAAGAAATTTGTGTTTGGGATGTGTGCTGCCAGTTACATCTGCGCTGTTTCCACCTTCCACACACCCCCACATGAGTCTTCACGGTAAATAATTCTCCTTAGGAAAAATGCCAGTTCTGCTCATACCAGCAAGTAAATGAATGAAATGTCGTTCTCTGTTCTTAAAGAAACAAGCCAAGATTTTGAAAGGTGACTTTATTTTGTGCTCGTGCCACTCGTTCAACCATGGGATTTGGGGTTCCAGCCTGGGGTGACAAATAGGTCCCAAAGGATGTATCAGTCTGGCAAAATGGAAGAAGAAAGGGAAGGATTAAAAAAAAATAAATTGTTTTCTTTTAATACAAATAGACTGGAACTAGTGACAGAGAGCTCAGCCCAGGGCGTGATCCCAGCGCTGACACGAGTGTCTTTCTAGTGGTTTCAGTGGAAGAAAACTATGTGTGGTAACGGGGTTTTGGGTCTGAGATTTATTTCTGCTCATACATACATCAGTGCTTTTATGAATTCTTGAACACTAATTTAAGGGTAGGTTTTAAAACTGTTTTCTTTCTTTGCCAGCCAACAACATCTGCTTCTATGGGGAATGCTCCTACTACTGCTCAACGGAGCACGCCCTGTGTGGAAAACCAGACCAGATCGAAGGGTCGCTAGCTGCTTTCCTACCGGATTTGTCTTTAGCTAAAAGGAAAACGTGGAGAAACCCTTGGAGACGTTCCTACCACAAGCGCAAGAAAGCAGAGTGAGTAGTGGTGAGCAAAGGGTTCGCCAGCTGCACCGGGCGATGGGCAAATAACCCAATGCTGCGGTCCCTGCCCTGCCGGACCCAAAGCATCGAGGCTTAGGAGAGATCTGCGTCTGCAGCAGGTCCCGCTCCTGGGAAGGGACAGAGCACTTACGCTGGCAAGGAGCTCCAGCTTATGGTCCCGAACCTGAGAGGTCCTTCAATGGCATCGTTCCCTCCCGGGACGGGTCCCTCCGCTGGGTTTGACGGGATGCGGCGGGACCTGTCTGAGTCCTGTCAGAGGGAGAAAGGCCCACTGCCATCCGCAGCCCTCAGCCGGTCACGGATGTTTTCGTCCTGTGGCTGCTGGTGCAGTGGGTCTCCTAAATCTTGAAGCTATTAACCAGATAGTTTTCAATCTTGTGATTTTCTTCCTTTTTCATCAGTCACAACCTCTATCTGCATTACTGCATTGCTGGAAGCAGGCGGAAGAATTTGCTGCCTCTACCCGACCCTGCCCTCAATTGAACGTGATACAACTAGATCTTTGCAAAATATTTTTTTTAATACTCAGTAAGCTTTTTGTCACATAAGATATCAAAATATTGTTTTTTTCAGATGGGAAGTTGATCCAGATTATTGTGAAGAGGTTAAGCAAACACCCCCATATGACAGTGGGACCAGAATCCTGGATGTAATGGATATGACAGTTTTTGATTTCCTAATGGGTATGTTTCATCCCTTTCAAAAATTAAATGCAACATTTAATTAGAATGAGAACCATTCCTTTCTCTGCCGCTCTGCATAGCTCAGCAGTTTGCTAAAGCGTGGTTGAAGCTGCGTTTGCTGTATGTGCCGTTCTGGCCGATTATGAGAGAATGCAGATTTACGTGGTTACGTATTCCCATCAGTGCAGATTAAAGGAACAAAGACGTTCAGAAACGCGGAGTGGTGATGACCGCGGGTCAGGCTGGTCTCCCTCACCGCAGTTAAGGGCTTCACGGTTTGCTGTAGCGAGTGCCTCACCGTTGTAACCGGCAGCTCCTGCATGCACAGGCGAGGACTCTGCATTCCCCGCACACCGGTTTCAACCCGCAGTAGTTTGCTGCTTGCTCTGTAAACTGTCAGAGGGGGAGAAGAGAGGTGTTGCTGTTATGAAGGCAACTGGTATGTATCGGGAAGTTCTTTCTGTTTACGTAACCTGTTTGGAATCAAATAATTCTTAACAAGCAGGTAATAGTGACCGATCCCAAGCCTCCTCAGTGTTACCATTGAGGCGTTCTCGTGTGAAACCCGTTCTGCTGCAGCTGATGTCCCTGTAAGGTGCCAACAGACGTACTCGGTGCTCGGACACGTGCCAGCGCCGACATACCCTCTGCCATTGCCACTGCTGAGATTGCTGCAATGGGCTGCAGCAGGAAAGGCCAAATCGCAGCTCAGGAGCCGTATGCGGCATCTATAAATGGCTCAAGACCCCCCGCCGTGGTGACAAACTCCGTAGCTTGGCGCCAATGCTCTGCACAGTGACACTGAAAAGCGGATCCCACGTCTGCCTGCCGGGGGTGCCCAAGGAGGGCTGGTCTGCCGTCCCACTGCGGTGGCGTCCTGACCTGTATGGTTGAGCCATGGTATCATTTTGGCTTTCCGGGCAGCTGGAAAATTCAGACCAAGTCCCTAATTGAGATAAAACAAGATGTTTTGGTTGTGGTTCACGAAGTTTACCACAATATTAGCAAAGTCACGTGGATTAGAATCCCTGCTTGGAGGATGATGCCCTTTCCCTGAGCGAAGCCCCGCACCCGGCGCTCGCTCCCTGGCTGCTCTGCGCGCCGTGCTGGCCCAGGGCTGGAGCAGCAGCGCTCCGGTGCACTGATGAAGCTCTGGAGGAGCAGCACCTCCGGAGGGGGTTGCTGGAAGGTGGGAAGGTTCATGTTGTCTCCTGATGGGTCCTTTTAAGTATAAATGCTTTTAAGTGTAAAAGCTACAGAGGACTTGAAAACAGCCCATCTTGCGGTACGGCACGCTTGGGGCTTTCCGCAGTAGAAGCAAACGAGCTCAGCAGACCGGTGGCTTTCTCAGCTCTTCGTGGCCGTCGTGCTGGGGCAGCACCGGGCGTCTTGCTGAACTTTTCTCCTGTCCTGGCCCGCAGGCTCGGCAGTGAGCCGGAGTGAGAACAGCCTTCTTTTCTCTTTCTTCCCTAGGTAACATGGATCGACATCACTACGAAACCTTTGAGAAGTTTGGAAATGAAACATTTATTATCCACTTAGATAATGGAAGAGGGTAAATACCTTTAATAATCTTTCTGGGGGAAAAGAAAAAAGTTAGTCTTTAAAACAGCCTTTGTCATGTTCTTGCTCTTTTCTTTTAACAGATTTGGAAAATATTCCCATGACGAACTTTCCATATTGGTGCCTTTAAACCAGTGCTGCAGGTATGTTTCCAGACTTGTTTCCCATTTTCTGCAGCTGTTTCCACTGGTGGGGCTGAAAGGGCTGAAACGCCCGACTGCATGTTCTGTTGCGTGCCATGGAGAGGAGGAGATGTCATGGTCCTGCCCGGTGAGCCCGACCCGAGCGAGCCCCGAGCGCTGGCAGCAGCAGGCGCAGCGGGTGCTGAGCTGAGGCCGGTGCGGGAGCGCGGCAGGGAGCGGTGGCCGGAGAGGCTCCCGCTGACCGGCCCGGTGACGGGGCCAGCTGCTCAGTGGGACGGTGGCAGCGCCTGCTTCTCCTCATCTCGCATCTCGTAACGAGGTTTTTACGCTGTTAGCGCGGTGCTGCCTATAAGCCTTTTAGCCCCGTCACGACCAATAGTGATGAGAATACTGATTTGCATTTTTTCTTCTCCTTTTTCTCTTAGAATAAGGAAGTCTACCTATCTGCGATTACAGTTGTTAGCCAAGGAGGAGTACAAACTCAGTCTCTTGATGAAGGAGTCTTTACTAAAAGACAAGATAGCTCCCATTCTCTACCAGCCTCACTTGGAGGCGATGGACAGGCGGCTGCGGATCGTCCTCAAGGCTGTTAGTGACTGTATAGAAAAGGATGGTTATGACAATGTGGTTGAAAATGACTTTAACGCTGATGTTAACACTGTTACGACCGAGAGGTAGTGAAATCGCAAGACTACGTTTTTACCAGCCAAGTAAAGAAGATTCAAAAAGGAAAAAAGAAAAAAAAAAAGTCTTGCAAAAGACTGTATATGCCACTTTGTGAATTCAGTGAATTCAGAAACGAGATATAATTGTTCCCAAAGTAGGTAAAGTGTAGACTCTGCAAAGGCTTAGTTCATTAAGAAAAATAAGTCTAACGTGATGCTTTTCATTAGTTCCTAAAGAGAGATTGTGAAAAGATTCAGAAAATACTGAGATCACTGACGGACAACGGTCTTACAGCAAAGCACCTCCTGTCCTTTTTGTATAGAAAGGAGGCCTTTACTTAATATTTTGTATTTATATATGGTATATCTATGAAACCCCAGACCTACCTACCAAATTAACTAAGAGGGACGGCATAGGTTTGTGACTCACACTTTATTTGTGGTGACAGTCCACTTAGTATTTTGTGTTAACCCTTTAAGTGCTCTAATCCACTGTATCTTATTTAAATTGAATGCTTTTTTCCCCCCAGCTACTCAGCATTTAAAGGGTTAAGGCATTACAAACTTTTAAAAGCAAAAAAATAATTATTATAATAATAAACAGTGGTTACCGGAAGGGAATTTCACTAATTGTGCATTGACAGGAATACTTGAATGTTGGTTTTACAAAGTGATGTAAAATGACGAGTTGTACTATTTGTCCATGAGGAGGTGGCAGCTCTTATCTTTCTAGACTATCATAGCTGAGCTGCTACTTTTCAACTTTGCTTTTGATAGTTTTGTGTAAATATATACATATATGGGTAAAAAGCTGCTCTCGGCAGCCCTAGGCTTACTTTTGCAGCATTTTTGTGGAATTGTTTGCAACGTGGTAAAAGTGCAATAAAGATATGGCAAAATGTGTAGCCGTCGTGTCTAAACGGATTCATTTTTCGCTGGAAATGTTGCTCGGAGCGGAGCTGGGCTCGCCAGCCAGGGCTTGCAGAAGCCGGTGGTTATGTCGGTGTCCCCTTTTGTAGCAACAGCGGCGGAGCCAACGTAGGGAACTGGTGATGCATATACAGCTCCGATAAGGACCATGGTGTTGGAAACGGCTGATCTTTCGTATGAAAGCATCGTTTTGACTGTCGTTTCAGCATCCCTTCCTCTTGCGATTAGAGCTGTAGAATGGGGCCGTAGAGCAGCACCTCTGGCAGCTTTCGGCTCGACGCAGCGCCCAGAGGCTTTCCGTCCGGCAGCTCCTCTCCCGGGGGCAGCAGAAGCCTTTGCGCCACCCGGAAAATCTCGGCCCAAATGATCCAGAAACGTGGTAGTCTTAACCAGATAGTTCTGAATCACGTTCAGCTGAGTTCATGTAATATGTGTGGAGACTGTCGGCCCCAAAGCAAGCGGCAAATTGACCACGTGGCCGTGTTTGCCTTGTGGAAACGTGGTGTACAGAAGGAGTGCCTCGTCGCTCTGGTGGGTGAGGGGAGAGTTTATTATGACAATATTCATCACAACTGTAATTCACATCTGTCAGTTGTTTCATTTTATGTCTTTCTTCTCAGGGATTTATAAACATATACTTTAAGAGCTTGTAGCCAGATAGACCAGCTGTGGGCATTTCAGCGTATTGGCATTATGAATGAGAGAAAGAGCGGCTCTATAGTCTCATTCATTTCTTGCGTTGATGTATAGTCACTAAAAACCCATCTTTCGCTATTTCCCTGCCCATTTCAAATTCCCAGAGCTCTTACATACATGGCATACAAAGACAACGGAACATCTTGGATTCTACAAGTGTCCCTGAACTTGGGAAATGTCTGTGTCACCCCATGGCTTTTTTTTCCCCCTCTGAGAGCCACCCGTGGCAGTGAGGATGGTCTCTAATGCCGCACTGGCACTGCAGCTCACTCACTCTCTGGTGGCCAAAAAGCCCCAAACTTTGGGTTTTTAAAAGGTGAAATGGGTGATGTTGTCCTTGCTTTATCCTCAATGCCGCGCGGTGGGTTTGCCGCGGGTGCGGCTGTTTCGCACTGGAGCTTGTGCCGGGGCTGTGGAATTGCCCCCCGGCCACGGCTCTGCTTTCTGGGGCCGCAAACCTGATCTTTGGGCTAACAGCACTCGGCAGCCTCTCGCCTCGGAGAGGAGCAGGTACAGCGAAGGGCTCTGTCCTTTGGAGGCCGGGCTGTAGCTGGTTCCGCTGCAGGGCTGGCACAGCCTGCCCGGCGCCCTCGGGGGTGGGAACACTGTCAGGAACCCGTTCTGGGCTTCTCTGAGCAGCATTGGTCGTGTTTCTGTAGAGCAGTTAACTAAAGGGCACTCATCCTTGCCGTACCGTAACCAGCTCTGTACGCTCTCCGCTTTCTCTCCTTTCCTGAGCTTTGGGGCTTCCCCCGGCAATTCTGTGCCGCGGCTTTCTAGTCTTCCTGTCTCCAGTCCTGAGGAGGCTTTTCTTTGGGATGGAGACATGCCAGCATCTTGGAAGAAGGGAGACAGTAGCTACGAACTGGGAGAGATTTCCTTCCCCCCCTGCCTCCGAGGAGAAATTGGGTGAATTAACCCCATCGGGGCAGTGGGACCCGACCCACGGGCAGAGTGCTCCGCGAGAGCTGAGCCCGCGCCCTCTGCGCGGCGGGGAGCTGGGGGCACGGGGGCACGGGGGCACGGCGCTCCCCCGGGGGTTATCTCAAGCAGCGGAAGGGCTGATTAATTAACCAAGCTGTGGAGTTGCTTCTCGGTACTTAGCGGGAAGCTCTGGTGTGTTTGCGTTCCCGCTGCCGGGCAGCTCGAGCTTTGACTCATATTAATTTTCTGCGTGTTTGGGAAGGGAAAAGAATTATTGCCTTGTTCTGATACGTCGTTCCTCCGTGGGCAGGGGTGAGTGGGCACGACGGACGGGAAACGAGCCGGGGAGTGAGCGTGTGGCTCTGCCTTTCCGCCCGTGGGCTATGGCAGCCCCGAGAACAGCTCTGCTCAGCCCCGGGGGGACAAACCCCCGCTGTCGGGGTGCGTCTGCGTGGCCCGGCACGGAGCGAGCCGCTGGCCTGAGCGTCCTCTCCCCAAACACGGGGACAGCCGGTTGGGGGGGTCTCGCCGGGGGGACGCGGTGGGTTTGGTGCGCAGAGGTGCTGCTCTCCGTGAGAGAGAGAGGTGAGAGCGGATGGCGGCGGCGCACGGCGATGGCTGCGGAAGGGCTGTCGTTGCGCATTAGGTCAGTAACCCGTGAACCGCGGAGGATTAGCGTGGCACGGTGTAGCATCCCCTGAGGAGCCCCACGTCTCTGGCAGACAAAGAGATTCGCTCTAAGGAGATAAATAAATGTCAGAATCCAATCGGTTTGTCTCCGAATCTCAAAAGCGGGTGTAGGACAGCACCCTGGCAGTAAGGCACCGAGAAATCTGCAGCAGCCTACAGGGGCATAACGCGTTCAGCACAATAAATATAGTCTGCACAATAAATAACAGATAAAAATAGATAGTAGGCTTCTAAAAGCACCTAATTACAACTGTATCTGCCAGCCTAGAATAGCTTACTGTATTCTCCGGAGTAATTCAGATGAGAGACTTATTTTGTTTTGCTGTTTTTCTGTTATTTAGGCATCAAAGGAAATTGGCACAAATTAAATAAAAAAATAAAATAAAAGAGCTCTCATTGTTTGAATTGGGTATATCAGTGTTGTGATGGGCAGAGGCGGGCAGAGCCCGAGGGGTATGTGCGAGCTGCGAGCCTGAAGGAGATGTCAGTGAAGTTCGCGTCGTCTTCCAGACCGGATCAGACCCCTTTCCGCTGAGACTGAAGCAACTCCTTCCTGACCAGTGAAGTCAGTGAGTTTTACAGGAGCAAGATTTAGGCCCATTATCTTCTTTCACTGCCCCATTTACAGATGACGAGTCTCTCTGGCTTCCTCGTGGCTTCCTTAGCTATAAGCTTAAATGATTTATTACTATTGTTTATCTGTTCTCTGTATTTCTAGCTGTTTGCTTCACTGATTTGTGCTGGATTTCCATTTTTAATGGCTGCTTTTTTAGCTTGAATAAACTCCAATGTGCTGCATTGGCACAACCTGCACACCCCCTTCCCCCAGTGCAGGTGGGTGTCTCGCTTTCGCGGTAGATGAAGTCGTTAAGAGGACTACACCAATCACCCCGGTTACGAACCACATCCACTCCCAACAGCACTCGCAGGAAAGTATGGGCTATATCAACCGGTTAGCAAGTGGGGACTTCGGTGCTACCAAACATTTCCAAACCTGTGAGCTGGTGATATTTTCCAGGACCCCCGGTCCTGTCGCAGCATCCCGAGACGTTGGGGCACATCGTGCTGCTGCGGAGCAGGTTGTGGCAGACTGTGGAAGGAATATGTGTCGCTTACAATGGATGTGAGTCATTCTGCAGGGGTACACCCTGTGGGTGCTCTCCCGACGGCTCTCTGGCATCTGCGTTGCTTGGAAAATAATGGATTTTTAGAACTATCCTCTGAGTCATTGAAGGGGGAAATAAAAGCTCATGATTTGGTTCGCTCGAGCAAGAAAAGATGCTTTCCTTTCAGGGAAGGATCACGTCCGAGTTCCGGATAGTTGCGTCGAGACTGCTGTGCGCTGCCCGTGTTTGTCACTGCCGCTTCGGACTTTGCTCAGGGTACGAAACCGGGATGTGGCGAAACGAGTGTGGAAGCGCAGGTGCAGCCCCTCCCCTGCGCCCTCCGGGCCACTGGCCGAAAGCACTGCTTTTTTTCCTCTCCCTCTCTTTCGGGGAATGCACTAAGAGGAGCCGCGTTTTCTTCTTTCTCTGCAACATGTTCTAATTTATAGGACGAGATTTGTGATAATTGAGTTCCGAGCCGAATGCTGAGCCTTCTCCGTATCCCCCGGGGTTTTCCTGGGAACAAGATGGATTGCCCAGTATGCTTCAGGCGAAAAATAATGAATGAATAAATAAATACATGAGTAACAGCATGCCTCATTTTGCCTATCTCTTAGAGCGAGAGGAAGCTAATTCTTTAAGTATCAGGAATGTGCTCATTATGCAAAAATGGCAGAGCAGATGCACATATTCATAATAAGTATATTAAAAATCTCGTTTTAGCTCCTAGAGGACAA